AAGAATGATAAGTACTTGGCAGGATACAAGGTTCAGCCGTTTGTCTTTTTGAGCGAATGAAGTCATTGAGTGCAAGGTAGTTTTATGTGGTTCTTGGCTGTTTATTCCTACTATGTCGATCTTCATAGCCGAACCGAGTGGGTAAGGAAAACTGAAACATTAGCCATGGTTAAATTTTTTCAATGAATACGCAAGCCCATCAGCCAGCCAAAGAGAATTTTGATTTTTGTTTTTGCCGATGGTAGAACAGAGGCGATGACTTTCTGGTGGTAGCACGTGATATTGTGCTGCAACTATTTTATTTCAGTCGAATGATTATGGCTGGTAAAGAACACGTAGACATCCTTCTAGTAGTAAGGATCCAGTTCATTAATGATTGAAGAATTTTGAGGGCACCAATAACAGCGAAATGGACGAGGTTGAATCATCAGCGAAAGGGCTCCGGAGTAGCGATTGATAAGAGGAAAATTCAACAAGCCGTCAGTGACTTTAGATCAGCAATATGCTTCTATTTCTCAAAAAAATTTGACATTTTGAGGGCGTTTATGTAGGGCTATCTTAAAATTCAAGAAAATAAGCACTACTAAGGAAAAAAACGTATTGCTTGAAATAGCATCGAGTCTTGCGCTTGAACGGATTTTGTTTACGATGAAATTTAAGTTCATGTAATATCTCATTTTGTAAGCAATTAGATACCGAACTACAAGCAAAAACTTTCAATAACAACCGTTCTCATAGCAACCGTGTCAAAAAACTGGAAATTCTTTTCTAGATCCAAAAGAATTGTAGCCTGTTCGGTTAGCAGCGCTCTCTATAGCGTGGTGGTTAGTAACCGGGTATCATACATGAACGCGATCGAGGCAAATCATTCTCTCGAGATACGAGAGTAATCATCAAGAAAACTGTTGCCGCACCACATTGACATAAACCGTATTATCCACACAAGCATTTGAATTTGCGAGTATGAGTGTTTATTTATTTGAGCGCAATCCGAAAGGCCTACTAGTGGGATATCAGAACAATACGCGCATTATCGCTTACAAACTGTCTATTTTCTCTGGAACTATCCCTCTGTCCCTCACTTTTCCCTTCTGCTGTAAACAACTGAAGATGAACTGGAACTTAGTTCTCACCACTGATCAATCACTACTTCTAAATGAAATGCTTGACTTACTAGAAAATTTGTCACGAGAAACTTCTTGACGTTGCCCCAGAGGAATATTTGAAAGCTACGTAGTTAACCACTCATAACAATAACGGTACTTTTCTTTTGAACGGCGGCAAACGAATACTCGACTTCATTCTCTAGATATAGAATTTTCATAGGTGTGTTAGTAATCATTCTCTAATTAGAGCCATACGTGAACGTTTTTTTCAAAACAGTCTTTTATACGCTGTAAAATAAAAAATTCTTCCACATAACCACGCGTTTTTTTCTTGTCTGGCTCATATTTCGCTGGGTAAATTTCGTCCCTTAGACTGTTAGCACTCCTTCGACAGCACAAGTCTCAAGAAAACAAAAATGTGTTTGCTTTTTCGAAAGCTCTTTTGATCGCACTGTAGAAGAAAGAAAAGATTTGTGTTCTAAACCTTGCCGGATTGAGCTCTAATTTAGACTACTAGTATTCATTCGACAACGTAAGCTTCAATGATTCCAATTCTGTGCTTATTTTCTGGAAAGACCGTTTCACTGCAACTTAGCAAGGAAATAGTGTCGAGTTTCACGTATTCGGCGGCTTGATTACCGGCTCATCTACGGACAGGATAGCGGGCGATCGATCGATGCCATGACACGTTAGAATTGAATTCAAAACTTTTTTCCGTTCAAAAAGGGAACCCGGATAAGACATTAAGCTCAACAACTACGAAATTTTCTCTACACACTCATAAACTTTTCGTGCTTACTGGGACTTATACGCGTGATAAAAATGAAAGCCGCTGCGGATGTGAAATATAGCTTTATTTTGGATTTTACAACCATATAAAAAGGTGTTTCGAAAAACCGGAAACTACGACCCTACCAGGAACGCATGCGGCGCAGTGGTTAGAGGTGCACTGCGTCGCCCACAAGACAGATGGTTTGATCGCGAGCTCATGGCTTATTAGCCATCCATCCCTCTGAAGTCAGTAATTTATTACCAGATTGGTCTTAGACTTGTCTGGAAGGATGACAGCACTTGCTCGATAGGTTACCGCGAGTGGCTCTGACTGCTAGGTAAGCATTCAATCACCTCAAAGGAAGCTAAAAATTGAAGGTGGGTGCATGATACATCTCTCAGGGATTGATCAACGCCGAGAGTTTTATCCCTTAATCTTTTACGGCTCCAGCCAAAGGTTTGACCTTTTGATGTTTACCAACACTCCTATGAAAAATTTCAAAATTTTCTGCTGAGCAAATGGGATCGAATACTCATTTATCTCGTCCAACAGAAAAAGCCCAATAATAACATAACAGTAGAGATATACCAACACTACAACAAAGCGAGCGAAAGCATGGTGGAAGTAAGTGAGGGCAAGACGTTATTTGAGAGGATGCCTCGTTAAAGAAACTGGTTTTGTAATAGATTGGTAAATGTGATCTGTATGTAGCGTACAATGCACTGGTAACGCTTGACCAACGTATTGGAAGACTCTTGTGATAGTTGAATAACTCTGACTTATAATGATAACATGTTGTTGTTAACATCTGAGAGATAAAAAATGGCTCCGAGAGTGGCATTGCTTGTACGGAAACGATGATGGTATAGAAGTTTCAATTGATCCACTTAAATGTATAGAAATTTATCTTAATCTACACAATCATTTTGCAACCATAATTTCACCGCTGTACTGCTACGTAATACAGAAGGTAGGACTCGTTTGTGCTTCTGCTTCCATTTGTACTCCTACAATGATTTTTCCTCTAGGATTCTCTATAGTTATGCCAGTTAGAATGCAGCGGAAACTCTTTTCAGATGTTTACGTGTAGGGTTAATAGTATGTAGAAATCTCTCGATAATAACGCTGAGTTCATTCTTGAACTCGACTATTTGTTTCTATCTAATCTTGGCACATCACTCTATCTGTTGATATTTTCTTTAATGCTGCAGCTTTAGAAGGCATTTTTATCGAGAATATTGTGAAATGGAATCGGCCGGGTAGCAATTTATATAATGCTTGTGGTGGTCAATGCTTGCTATGTAAAGCTGAATACCCCAAAGATGGAGAAAACAGTTACTTTCAGTGGTGGAAACAATAACATTTTGTTTCCTTTTTTTGCTGAGTTAACATAAGATTTTTACACCTCTTCCTTATTATGGCTAAAATTTCGCAATTTCGCCTTCGTCAGAGACACAATGATTCGCATCAAGTCTAGACAGCAGGTTCTTATTCCGATATTGGTCTACGTAGCCATCAAATCGAGGCGAATCAAATAGTATGGATACCTACTGCACAAATGAAGTAGCGTCTGCAGCGTTATCTTTTATGCAGAAAAAAAACAAAAACATTATTGAAGGGTATCGCTATATTGAGATATAGGTTGTCCGGAAATCAAGAAGGTCGATGATCAAACATTCATCGTATCAAGACAATGCGTAATTTCTCACTACAGTCTCCATGAGACGTAAGTCACACAGTTTTTGAAATTACTGAGTAGAAATCACTGATAAGAAGCAACAATTGAACGAGCTTTCGACAAAACATCTTCACTTAGAACTGTCCATTAATTACATGAAGTATAAGAAAAGGTTGTTTCACAAAAATAAACACTTGAATAGGTGACCAGCACAATGTTTAGACCGGCTTTGATACCCATTGCAACGGATTCTTATAGAAATCATATTTTTACTAATTTGTTAAAAATGGGAGAGAAGGTATCACTTGAATCACTTGTGGCCCACGTTGTCGTTGAGCAACTGGAAGGGGCGCCTATATATTCTCCATCTTTTTATTGTAGCTTGCTAGAGTAGATCAGTGAGTTTCCCCTTCTGATGGAATTCGCTAGGGATCACATCTTTTTTTTTGGGCGTTCTGTGAAGAAATTGGGCCATCGGGTCGCTGTTTTTCCTGTGATGCTCTTGACATCTCGAGTCTGCTTCTCAGCTTAGACAGAAGTGTGGGGGCTTTAAGATATTCTTTTCGTTAACCACGAATGAAGAGTTTAAAATCTCTCTGTTCTTTATGAACATCACTTTTGCGAGATTTCGTCGGAGACCAATCTTTTTATATATGCAGTCGAGATCGGTCAGCATTCGCTTCATATGACTGCTAATTGGTGTTGTAAGAACAATCTCATCAGCAAAGCACGGATGGTGTGATTGTCGACCATCGATTCCACTCCCATGGTGTTCCGTTCAAGTGCTCCATAATGCTGTGGAGGGTGGTAACAAATAATTCTGACGAGTAGTTAACACTTTGTCGAAGCCCCTTCCCTGCGTCCACGGTAAAATCGTTTCAGAATGGTGACGCTTTGATTATGAAATCCTTATGAAATACTTATGAAGCTTAGGAAGATAAGGAAGTTACAACAGTGACGAGGAATAAAGCTTTGCTTGATAGAAAGTTAATGGCACAAAAAGAGCGCTTTAGTACTAGACAAACGACCGAAAGACAGATCTATGCGACTCAGAAGAAAGTGAAAACCTTTTTAGATTGGCCTTTTTCTTATTTTTACCTTCATCGGAATACATTTTAAATAAAGCAATATTTTTTTATAATACTCGAGAATTCTAGTATTATCACAGCTTTTTTCACAGTGTTATAGTGTTTCATATATACTTAAGCGGATTGAATGGTGAGCAGAAATAAAACCTCACACGAGAGTCGAACCCACGTTTTCCACCTGAACGAGCTGAGTCAAAAGCAGTAAGAACACTAGAATTCTCGAGTATTATGTCTAATAGTGGTTGTCAGCTCAACTGGGTTCATGAAGCGAAATCGCATACCCCACTAAACCTGTTAAAGGTTGGTGGCTGACAATGAACATAGAGATGGTCAAGAATGAGTGGTGATGCAAATGTGCCTCGGTGGTGCTGTGGTAGCACGCGTCTCCGGTATGGATAAAACGCTGGTTCGACTCCCGTTTGGGGTCGTACTTTTGCTCAGCACTCAGTTTGCTTAGTTATAATTTTTCACAGTAGATATTAGTTGCTCCTTTTAAACATAAGAGACTGCTTTGTTCCAATGTATCTTGCGCACATTACGATGACTATTCGGATCACTTATTTGACAACTTGCTAATATTTTCTGTATCATCTGTAAAACGATCTTCGTACATCTATTTTTTAAGTCAGTCGCGAGAATGATGATTCATAACATACGAAAATATAAAGTAGGCTATGTAAAGTGCAGCTTATCATTCATTACGTGCTTTTGATCTTGACGATCCGATTTCCATCACAGTTTCTGCTTTAGAATGATACTTCTATTCTACTGAGCTGCACTATTTCGGCTTTATATTGACAAAATCATCGCCATTTCCTGAAATTTCAATTTTCGATGGGCTTTGTTGAACTACAACTAGCTTACAGTCATTTTCTCATTATAAGTTGAGAAAATTAATTTCTATAATTTTGATTGCTTTTATATATGAGCAATGAGAATACCTGCTTCTAGACTTTTTGCAAGATAAGCTGCAATTTTTTACTATCAGTATCTGTTCAACATCAGAACGCTTGCCGCTGCACTTAACAACAGCGGACAGGACACTATACAAAACCACCTTCTATCGTATAGTTTTGTCTATCGTCTTCGATGAGAAGTGTTTGTAAACTCGCGGAAATCGATGGCAACATTAGTGCACTGATGGTAGAAACTAAAGTGAAGGCTAGAAAAGCGTTCAGATGCCACTAAACGCAAATTGATCGAAAAACCTTATTTCCATCACACTATGACTTTAGGACACTTATTTGACATTATGGTAAAATAATGCTTCACTCCACACTAATCAGCGTTGATCAGAAGAAGTGGTTGAGTGTTTCAATCGTTGCTGGTGTGATTGATAAACCAGTTCTAGCGAGAGGAGAGCTAAGACAAAGTCGAGCTCAAGATTACCTCGATAGCATTTTCTCTGATATCACCTCTCCTATGTCCCGAAAATCACTCAATCTCTGGTTGATTATTCTGAGTGATCAGGTAACGGCTCATCTTTCCATCAGTTGGAAGCCAAAATAATATAGTTGTTCATCATAGAAGAAGAACGACGTTGGTAACCCCACAGAAGGAAGTGTTTAACAAGGTAGATATCACTTCAAAGTATTTTTCAGTCCACCACATCAGGGACATAACACAAAAACTGACATGGATTTGAATGAGAGTAGAGCTGATGGTTGGTAATCAAGCCACCTTCGTATTTTGGATCATATTATCCTTATAACAAGGAATCTCGTTAAGAGGAATGGTCACCAATTGCTTGTTGAATAAGTGCTCAATAGTCGATTCTGTAGAAAATACTGACTATGAGAAGCAGACTGGCTGATGATAACTCAATGACTAACTGAACATATATCTCCAGAAAGGCCAGCTGCACCTTTCTGAGGCGGAAGGTGATCATGAACGTGTGAACTTCTGTACTAAGTGAAAGACAGCGATCGTTTTTAAGAGCTCACAAGAGTATCAAGAATGTGATGAAAATTACAGAAATGAATAGGCTGTGTTCTAGACTTTCTCGCTCTGTAATATATATTTAAACGTAGCAGACTGTTGACATCTGACACTACGAAAACAAGACAAAAAGGTCTTCACTGTTATTCAATACAAAGTGCTTGTTCCGAATGTTTGCTGTATGATGCAATTAGCCCTGATGACAGGGACACGGCGCTAGCCCCGTCTCGCCGTGTGTGGCAAGCAGCCCGTAGCACCGTGTAGTCAGTGATGCTGCTGGCCAAGAGGATCAAGGTCGATCAACTACTATGACGCTTCACAGCAGGTTTTGTAGTGCTAATTTTTGGTACCAATCAGTACCAAAAGTTCTTCTATAGATCTGATTATAGCAAAAAAAGACGCTCAGTTAAATTACAAATCACTACTTTTTGATACGAATTGCAGATGCATGAGGTAACTACGGAAACCACCCACAGGTTTCACAAAACTGACTGCATAAGTTTTATGTAGCATCCGAAAATTCGTACACTGCAGAAAATGTTTTCGAATTCGATTCTTTCTATATAATCGGAAGAAACACGAGAAAAAAAAAGTTGGATATGCGTTGTTAATTCATGGATCTTTATTTGTGTCAAAAAGCAGTGAATGGTGAGCATCTGAGCGTTTTTTGTTATCAGGTACGTAATAAAGAAGAGCCTTCTAATACCAATACTATTGAAGTTCAACTTTATTCGTCCATCTTCACCTGCTCTTTTCACTGTGCGGATTCCAGTACTTAGAATCAAATTCGTTTTTTCGTCTTCTTCATAAACGTCCTAGAATACTGGCTGAGCGTGCCCCTTTGCAATCTCAAGGATAACCCAGCTTTAGCGTTCCATAGGGCTTTATTATTGTCTGCCGGAGAGAGTTGGGAAGTAGAGCTCGGCTCCACGCGCTTCAGGACGGGTACCACAACCATTTGGCCACGGCGCTCCCTTCAGTACTAATCGTCCTAAAAATAACACCAAAAAATTTGCTGTGGAGCTCGTGGTGAGGCGCTGAACCAGAAACTTTCTTCCCGATAGCCAGCATCATCAATAATCACTTGGCACTTAGGACTGCCCGCCGCACGCTGCGAAGCAGGACTAGCTCTGAATCTTTATCTTACTCAAAGGGTTACACACAGTAAGTTACGTCATGCTGCCTAAAGCGTACTTAGCGCAAAGGTCAGAGGTACTCTACAATACATATATGTAGATAAATTCAGATCCAGATCCAGATCCAGATCCACATACCAAACGCTCTGTCCTTGGGTAGGGGAGTCGGAGTAGATTTTACCTGCGAGGACGAAAAACTTTCACACGAGAAAAAGAGTCGTTTATCAATAGTATGGTTTGGTCTCCACATGAATTCCAAATTGTTACAATGGTCAATTTATTCAGGATCACTGGAAATCAAACAATCAAGCATTTCACCGCATTTGCCATTTTTGTAGAAGCCCTCTAATTTATACATGCCGTAGCTATAGAACTATTAATATTTGTCCTTCACTTGAGGCTGACAAAAAGCTATAGGCTTTTTTCCTACTAAACCACTTATAGGTATTGTTTAGTCAAATGTCATGCAACTGGAAGCAAAATGCTAGGAGGGAGATCCTCAAAAGCTGGATTCAAGATATGAACGGTAAGTGTTTAGTAGTGAATAAAATACTTCTCAAAATGTTTGGATATATAGATGTTTGTACTAAAAAAAGATTATATTTATCAATTGATATATCCAAAACAAATTCTCAAAATCCATTAAATGAACCAAAAGTTGCGACAAAGCGAAGAAACTATAAAGATGTGAAGTGAAACCGCAGAATGCCAAAATACGAGCAAGAAGAGGATCCTCAAACATGTTTCGGATTTGCGATTACTATTTTCTCAGCATGCGTGTTATCCATTGAACCATGGAGGTCATCTTTACCTTCCTCTTAGTGATATTATAAACGCATAAAAGCTGACTGTCATTCTATAGACTTCTTGAATAATTCAAACAAATCTCAATGCTATCTTCGAATAGAAGCGTCTGATGAAAATTTGGTAATTTGCGAATTCGACGCATCCCTCTTACGTATCAGTTTTTTCTCCATTTGAACTATACTTTCTCCTATTACTATCATTGGCCACATCTGCTATTTCGATGCTGATGAAAAGTGGAAGAGCGGTTTTTCAAAACACCTTTTCACAAGGCTGTAGCATCCACAAAAATATTGTGTTACATAGCCGTCGTGAGCCTTCATTTCTATACCCGTATACCTCGCTGAAAGCACGAAAAGTAAATCAATGTGTAGAGGGACTTTCGTAGTGTCTTAATCAGTCTTTTAATTTAAAAAATCTTGTGAAGCGAAGGGAAAATGTTTGATTGAATTGCAACATGTCTAACAAAGTCGGTAGTCCCGCCTCGCCCCGCCCCTGCTCCGCCCCGTGGAACAACAGGTAAACAAGCTCGTCGAAAATGTGAAACTTAACTTTATTTTCTCTTTTAAGCGGTAATTCTAGGAAATAAGCAAACATGGAACCGTTGATACTTACGCTATTGAATGACTGCTAATAGTCTGAAAAAAGAGCTCTGTCCAGCGAGTTGTGGAGCACAAATTTTATTTTTCTCTCACGCACTTTCAAAAGAGCTTTTCCAAAAGGCAAATAGTTTTTGAATTCTTCGAGACTTGCGCTATCGAATAAGTACTGGCACTTCAAAGAATAAGTTTTATCCAGCAAAATATAGGCGAGATAAGAAAAAAACATGACTTTGATAAACATAATTTCAGTTTGGATTTCACAGCGTCATAAAAAGTCGTTATGGAAAACCGGTTTGGTAGCTAAAGCCAGACTTCTTAGCTTACAAGTAATTACTAACACTCCTATGAAAAGTTTCTGCCCAGCGAATGAGGTCGGATATCCATTTGTCCTCTTGCAACCGGAAAGTAGCGAAAATTTTTAATCAGTTCCATGTTGTTCAATCAATCTTATAAATTTGATTGATGAATATATTTTTGATAAAGGAAGACTCATGATCCATTTTTACGATTTTGATGATAAGAGACTCCTTGTGTTTTATGGTAGTTCTTGTATAGATATTCCAGTTCGTTGGTACAATGTCTCTTCTGCAACAGAGCCACCTCCAACAATTAGCTTTACTCATTTACGCGGTGATGTTAGACCACAATCCGTTTGTTTCTTTGCTTTTATTTTTGCTTATTCATTTTCTTATCTTATAAGACATCCGATATTCTGTCGCAAAATTCAACCGTACATTCCGTTCCCAGCATCATTTTTGAGTAGAAATCAGTAGTTATCATCAAAGAAATGACATACTCATCAGACGATCTGAGTTTTGAGAGGTAGACTGAATGTCCACGTGAGACGTGAACTGTTTTAGCAAAAATTGACAGAACGGAAGACAAATCCAGCCGCTTGCATTCACCATGTGGAATGAACTTTCGACTTCCATTACCACCTTTTTATA